CTCAAAAGTTTAGAGATCTGGACACTTGTGGTAAGTCACACATCCCTCCAAACATGGCAGCTTCTCTAGAACATTACACAGTACAGTAAGGACTGGGGCTTTAGTCTTACCCCCAAATCAAAATGCTAACACCCTTCTAACACATCTACCTTGAGTAGTCTCTGTTTCAAATTTCGTGATAATCAAGAACTTAGGATAGAATGAAATATGGAATGTGTTTCATAGAAGACAAAGTGGAACCATATGAACTAGTTTAAATTTATGTTTCTAAACATTCCCCCATTAACCCTGTTTCCACTAAAATATAGTACTTTAGTACTTTTCAAAAGAAATTAACTCATCATTAAGTACTTCTTCATTTAATTGTGAAAGCTAAATTTGAGTAATTCCATTATTCCTTAACCCCACCTTGGGTTAAATGCTTCTGCTCTACTATTCTTCTGACTCCCTATTGTAGGAATTCCATTTAGCTTCTTTCTCACAAATATTACCATAACTAGCTGTGGGATGCTGACAAAATTGCATGCCTACTCTTTCATATTGAACAAGCTTAATCACCTTTAACTGAACTACATGTAAAATAATATTATGATCTCAAGATATAAATTTCTAATACAAAGTAGAAATTATAACACATGCTGACATTATAAATGTCATTAAAGACATAGCATAGCTTTCCTTCTGTGGAAAAGATTATAGGCAGATGCATGTTTTTCCTAAAAATTTCTAGGGAAAAAGTGTAATCCATTGATAACTTAGCTTGGCACAGTAGAGAATCCCTGGCTCATACTTGCAAGGAGCAAACATCGATTCTTCTCCTGTAGGAGATGGAGTACAGTAAGCTGTCAGTCTCCCACAATCCTTGTGAGACATCAGCTCCTGTGCTTCAGGCTTCCTTATAGTTTACAATGTATAATAAAAAAGAGGGCCTATAGAGATGGTTCAAGAGTTAAGAGTGCTTACTGTACTCGTAGAAGACCCAGGTTCAGTTCCCAACACCCACATCAAGCAGTTCACAACTCACAACCACCATAACTCCAGTTTGTTGTATGATATTTTGTTTGTGTTCTGACAAAGTTTACCTGGAGATCAGAGGGCAGAGCTAGCCACTAGTTATCCATAGAGGCCAGGTGGTGGTGGCACATACCTTTAATCCCAGCACTTGGGAGGAGGAAGCAGGATGATCAGGAGTTCAAGGCCACCCTGGGCTACATGAGATTGACTCAGTCTAGGAGAGAAACAGAGCCAGGCAGGGGTGGCACACACCTTTGATCCCAGCACTAGGGAGGTGCAGACAGGAATATAAGGGAGTAGAGACAGTAACCTCACCTCCCATTCAGTCTGAGGATTCATAAAGACAGGATGCCCTATTTGGTCTGAGATTTCATAGAGGTAAGAACTCAGTAGTGGCTGGCTGCTCTGCTTCTCTGATCTTTTAGCTTTCACCCTCTATATCTGACTCCAGGTGTTTATTGTTAAGAATAATTAGAATCTCAATTCACTAGTTCCAGGGGGTCCAATGTCCTCTGTACCCTGCAAGAACCTGAATGCACATGATGCACATAAACTAATGCAGTCACACATATAGAGAAACAAAAACTAATTAATTTAAAATAAGAGACCACAATCGTATTGAAAATGTGTATGGTTTTTGTTATTTAGCTAGCCAGCCTGTGATTGATAAAATAAGGATGTCAAAAAGATAAGCCCTAAAAAAAAGTAAGGTCTCAAGTACATGACTTTAGATGTGAAAATAAACTAAAAATTATGAATCAGAGCATCAACTTAAAAAGGAAGACGTTACCAATGCTGAGCTTCTGTGTGTGGGATCTGGGCTGGGTATTTGGTTTTAAACTAGAACAAAAAGCCCATTCAGAGGCATCCAGAGAGTCTCAGCTATGAAAACGTGTTGATGGTCCACATGTGGAGCTCAAAGGGCTTTCTCTCTGTTTTTCCTTTATGCTTACAGGTCTCCATCCACCCTGGGCCACTGGCCACAGAGATGGGACCTTAGCACACAAGCCAGGACATAAATGGAAATTAGGACATTTGAAATTTGATAGAATAAATGTGCTTTGTGATCCCATGCTTCCCAGGAAAAACATGACATCTGGAGAAATATCCCCATTCGTGTGGCATACTAAAGCTGAGGTGCTTCCTACTACGCTGAAGGAAGGATGACACAGTGAGAGTTCCACTGTTACCCTGTCTTACTCTTGGGCTCCGTAAAGCTATTTCAACTCCTCCTTATGGGCATTCAGCACATCCCATAGGCTATAGGGCTACTTGGACTCTGGACTGAAATTTTAAACTGTAAAACTTAAGCTTTAACTTATGATTCATGAAAAATGTTTTACATTGCATGCTTGATATCATGTTTTCAGTAGCAGATTATCAAGAATGTATGTTCCCGCTTTTCTTCACAGAACATTATCAGATGAGTGTGCTGGAATCAGCTCCAATTAGCTCCACTGTGGGGAGAGTGTTTGCCAAGGACCTGGATGAAGGAATCAATGCAGAGATGAAGTATACTATTGTGGATGGAGATGGTGCAGATACTTTTGATATTAATACAGACCCAAATTTCCAAGTTGGCATCATAACTGTGAAGAAGGTAATTCCATTTCCTTTTCCAAATCATTTCCCAGGGCACTTTGCATGTGAAACGCTAGTGGAGGTGGTTGTGTATTAAGATGTGTTTTAAGTCCTCCAATAAAAATCTCTTTCCTGGACCAATGAGACGGCTCAGCAGGTAGAAGCACTTTCCACAGAAGCCTGACAACCTAGAACCTACAGAAGAGATTCAGCTCCCACAAGCTTTCCTCTTGACCTCCACATTGCAACACAGCATGGGTACACCCACACTCACACACACACACACACACACACACACACACACACACACACACACACACACACTAGCTTAATAAGCACCTCTTATTGCCTGGACTTACATGCAGAAACACTGGCTGTGGCATTATTTTATAGAAAGGGTTATTAAAGATATATTACAAATAAGCCACTTCTACTTAGCCACTCAGAATGCTATAGCTTGATGCTCTAATGTTGTTAATGACTTAATCAGTATTTGAATTCCACATCTTTACATCAGCTTACCATAAATAGCAAAGCAAGCTATATTATTATGAATCAATAAATAATACATAGCACTTTTTAATTGCTTCTTGAAGAGCCATAAATGCTAATGAAACTTGAAAAGTTTTATCAAACATAAAACTTCTTTGTTCCATCTCAAGGTGCCAAGTTCCCTAAAGGGAAATGTTCATTTTTTTTATGTGCCACAAAGCACATATGGATAAATTCAATAAATGGAAGGTAAATTTTTCCTGTTTTAAACTTCTTTTATTTTATTTTTGTGTGTGCAACTTATGTATATACATGGGTATGTGTGTTTATGCGTATTTGTGCAGATGCGTGTAGAGGAAAGGGATTGACTATCAAGCCCTGGGAATCCTCCTGTCTTTGCCTCCTCAGGGTGGGGTTAGAGGCATGCACTTGGCCTGGCTTTTACATGAGTGCTGGGGATCCAGCTCAGGTCTCCATGCTTGTGTGGCAAGTACTTTACCGGCCAAGCCATCTCCTAACCCACATTAAACTTTTTTAAAAAACTGAATCTGTGGCCTACGGAGCTGGATCAGTGGATAAAGCATGAATACCAGAGTTCCCCAAGACCCTCATAAAAAGTGGGCAGTTGTGGCAGCCTATGTTTAACCCCAGCACAGGATTTTAAAAAGATCCAGGATCCTGGGGATCCAGGTTCAGTAAAAGACCCTGCCTCACTAAATATAGAATAGAGTAATCAAAAAAGATATATGTTGTCAACTTTGGGCCTACACACACATAAACATGTCTACATATATGTATGCATACCACACATACCAGTAAGTTGAATCTAATACCTTAATGAATATTTAATTTATAAAACACTGATTTGTTTATAAACTACCTCAACCTGCCGCCTTCCTGGTGATCTTGTCCAAGCAGCTACTCACACCAGCTGCACACGGTAAGACTCTTTGATCCACCCACCATCTGCTGCCTGGGATCCTTCCCAAGCAGTCATGAATATAGCCACTGGTAACTCTGACCTGCCACCTGCCCAGAGACTTTTCCCAAGCAGTCACAACTTATATCATCTGTGGTAAGATCTCCTTGGCCCTGCCGTCTACTCAGAGACCTTATCCAAGCTGCCACATAGGTGGCCTCTGATAGTAAGCTCCCTTGCCCTCAACACTGCCATCCATCTGCCTGGGACATCACCCAAACAGCGGCATATGCGGCTGGTAGAACCACAGCAACCCTAGGGAGTCACAAAACTGCAATCACTTTCTACCACTTCGTTCACAAATCAACACGAAGTGTCCAAAGGACTGAACTTCAGAAACCTCCTACCTGATCCAAAGCCAACCAAGTTAGGGTAATAGCAAAACTACAGCACAGCAAAGGAATAGACATATGCTAAATTCCTCCAACCAGAAATCTTCATGGCCAGCACATAATGACCTTGAAACAGTATAAAATGCTAAGACTGACTTATGAATCCTCAAACATATTTATATAATTAAACAGAATAATTTATTATTTTTGAAAATTTATAATATATGCTAGCCTTCTAAGGTGACTAAAAATAATATCAATTTGTTACATGGGAAGGAATTAAAAATATTTTCCTACTATATATTTTGTTTCAACTATTGACACACCACTAACCACTAGAAAATGCCCAAAGCTTTAAATAATTATTTTTTTCTTGAATGCAAAAGTCACTAATTCAAAAATTAACTAATCATAAAATGGAGCCTTCAGGATACTTCATATTTAAATTAAACTTTATTTGAAAAAAACATTCTAAATGATACAATAGTGACATATTAAATTATTATATATATATATATAGATTAGATATCATTATAAGTATTCATTTTTAAAACAATGCATTCATTAATATTACAATTTGAGCAAACTAAAAATGTCTTTTCTCCACTCCCTTATGTGGAAAAGATTAGACATTGCAAGCCAGAACCCTGCCTCTCAATGTCATTATCCAAACAGTATCCATGTTCAATCAAAACAGACTTACATTTTCTTAGGCTGTTTAAATTCCTTTTCTGAACATATGAGCTGCCAGAAAATATAATTAAGAGAAAGACCAATAAGTTGGGTAGATGGACTAGTCACATGTAATAAACATTTTAAAGGCTTATTGACTGTTAAATCCATATGTCTGGAACAGCTCCCAGATGTCTGATCCACACCCATCATCTTCCTTTGTCATTAATAATGTCATGTAAAATTGAAACAAAAGTTTTGCTTTTGATTTATTTTTCTTAGGTCTTTTATTTGTCTAAAAAGCACATACTTTTTCAAAAAGAAAAATTAAACTGAATTGAAAGAATTGGGTCTTCATACAACCATGGTGATTGCTACACAGGACATGTGTCATTTTAGCTTTTAAGTAATCAGTCAATTGATTTTCAGTCTCTCAAATGCTTGAAATATGCCTAGAAATATGTAATTTTCAGAGTTTTCTTTGTTCTGGAGTAGCATGATATTGTGCCATTTTCTAGTCCTCAGTTTAGCTTCCATCTGCAAGCAAAAAAGAGTCATTGTAGAGAGTGGTCCATTCTCCTCTTTGGCAGGTCACAAAACACGTAAATTCTATACTTCTCTACTCCTGATAGATCATGAATTACAATTATCATCATTATCTTATATACTCTTCAAAAAATGTTCAACTTTATGTGATCCAATACCTTACCTGAAACTATTTGAAGAGCTCTTAGAGATGCAGGTGGACATATTTGCCGCCTCGTCTGTATCAGGCTTGCTCCCTGCTAGCCCTTCAGCACCCTTCTGCCTACAGAGCCTTTCAGACATTTTGACAGCAGTAAATCCCAGTATCAACCCTGTGCAAAACTAGACTCACGCAGAGCACTAATGCCTTTCTCTGCATACAGCTTGCATGGGCACTAACAACAGAGCTCATCACCTGTTAAGCACCCAACAATTGTGACATGGCATCAGTTAGAAGACAACTATACCCCAAAAGTATGAAATGCAATGAGAACCTACACTCTAGACATACAGACCATCACACCAAACCTTTATATGCCATCATATAAATTTTAACACGCAGAAAGACCAATTGTGGCTCTACTTAATGCAGTAATACTTTTTTACTACATTTTGGGTCTTTGGCCTTGCTACACACTGGGAAATAAAAATCCAACTTTGCTTTTGGGTTTTTATTTATTAAAAAACCAAGTCTTTGTTTTTGACCTTGAATCTGAGGAAAGAATACACACAGAAATTTTGTAATAAAAAAAATTACCCTCCTTATATGGGTTCTATGAACAGAATATGGGTCCTCTGAAAGACAGCAATCACTCTTAACCACTGAACCAATTTTGTATTTTGTATTTTATAATATTTTGTATTTTATAATATGGAATCATTACAGACAAAACTGATTTCTTGTGCATGACCCCTGGTCAAAGAATTTGTACATTTGGGCCAGCATCTTAGCTGGCACTATGCAACCATGCCTCCTGATTCCTGTCTTCTGAGCTTTCTGAATTCAAAGATGTTGAACAGGATTTTAAATTAAAGTTTAAAAGGGACCATCTATGATAAACTAAGTAAACAAAGGTTGATGTGACATGGTATGCCAAGAATACTTGTGAGGCACATAATGTAATTCCTTAGAAAGAATCACTGTTGCTTTGAAGTCAAGAATAAAGCAAATCTATTAATTTTTTTAGCTAGCATACAAAATGATCGGTTTCACTAAGAAATTTTTGTACATTTACATATCATTTTATCTTGCTCACGCCCCCTCCCTCCTTCCCCATCCCTCCTCCACTCTCACTAGTCCCATTTCTCCCCTAAAATGGGTTCCTCAAAAAAAAAATTTTAAGAAGAAACAGAAAATCAAAAGCCTAATCCATGGACATCCTAGGACAGAACACAAACTCGGTCTTAATTGTCCAATATCTTTCCAAGAGAGAAATGCCTCTGAACACAAGACCTCCAGCAGCCATCTTGTCCACCTGGGACAGAAGGGTTCTCAGGCAACAAAATTTTCCTTCTTAAAATTAGGGCAAGACAAATGAGGGTCCCCAAACTTTCTCTCCAGACCATGCTGAGTAAAGTTAAAACTGAGCTTGCTAGACACCTTCCTTCCTTCTTACCCATGATTGAATCTGATGTTATCAACGAGAATGTCAGAACAAGACAGGATGTCCCTGTTTTTACTTTTTTCTCTTTTTTCACTGTTTCAATGAATTTGGGGGTTCTCAACTAAGCACCAGGATTGTATGTCCTTTTAACTCTGGATATGTATACTATCAGCTGACCATTTTTCTTCTCATTGTCTTTCAGCCCCTAAGTTTTGAAAGCAAGAAAAGCTACACTCTGAAGGTGGAAGGAGCCAATCCTCACCTAGAGATGCGTTTTCTGAACCTTGGCCCATTTCAGGACACGACAACAGTGCACATCAGTGTGGAGGACGTGGATGAGCCCCCTGTGTTTGAACCCAGCTTTTATTTTGTGGAGGTGCCTGAGGATGTGACAATTGGAACAACCATACAGATCATTTCTGCCAAGGACCCAGATGTGACCAACAACTCAATCAGGTTTCCCCACAGATTTCACTTTGTCCTTATATCCTGGAATTTTCCCTTACCTTCTATATAAAGTTCTAGCATTTTCACCCTTTTCAAATCCCATCTCTGGAAATTCTTTTCTGAGCTTTTTGTTGTTTTTGATCAAATAGCATGACAACATCATGTAACTGGAAAACTAAATCTTCAACTCACTTCCATTTAGCTCAGATACACACACCTTGAATCCTCAGTCATGGCTCCACTACCACTTGGGACTGTATCAGTTGTTACTGATTTTTGGGTCTGTCCTATGCATTGAAGGCTCTAAAGCCAGAATCTCTGGTCTTCACCCACAAAATGTGGGTGAATAATATCAGCCTCCAAGCTATACCAACCCCAAATAGGCCCAGATACTGCCTGATGTCCTGAAGCAGTGATGCAATCAACCCAGGAGCAGACCCACCAATACAAAACCACCACAGTCACACACAGATGTCAAAATCTTCAAAACTGCTCCTCTTCTCCAACTTTATTAGTCTTTTTCTAAGTTAGCATACACAGAAGTGGGTTTTGTCATGGCATTTTTATGTCTTCATACTTTGTTCTTATTCACCTCCCTCCACAACAGCCTTGACCCCATTTCTCTGGGTCCCTTCTGCCCATTTGTCCCTTCTGTCATCATTTCTGCTTTCATGTCATAGGGATTCCACTGTCCCATTTTCTCCTCCCTTAAGATATCTTCTTTTACGTATGGCACCCTTTTTATTTTCATGTCAAACAAAGACACATACACACACACACACAATTTAAATCTAGACTTCACAATACCACATAGATGAGAAAACATGATGAGTCTGGTTTATTTTGCATAGCATGGTGTCCTATTCCAAACACTTTCCTAAAAATGCCACGATTTCATTTTTCTTTCTTTGTGGATGAATAAATTCCACTGGGCACCTGTGGATGGACATCTAGGCTGGTCCCACAACTTAGCTATTGTGAATAGAGAGAGCAGCTATAAACATGATTGTGCAAGCATCTCTGCTGCATGTTGACTTGGAGTCTTTTGGGTTAATAACCAGAAGAGATAGAGCTGGGTCAGCTGGCAGTTCTATTTTTGGTGTTGGAGGAACCCCTACATTGACTTCCACAGTAGCAGCAGCAGATTACATTTCTGCCAACAATGTATAAGGGTCTCTTTTCCCTGCATCCCCACCAGCATTGTTTTTCTTGTTTTCTAGAGATGAGATGCAATCTCAAAGCAGCTGTAATTTGCTTTCCCTGATGATTAAGAGTACTGAGCACATTTTCAAATAGTTATTGTCCACTTTTATTTCTTCTTTTGAGAACTGTCAATTCAGTTTATTAGCCTATTTTTCAACTTGGATGATTTGTAGGGAACATTGGTGTTTAATTTTTGCAGTTCTCTGTGTATTCTAGGCATTGATGTCCTGTCTGAGGTATGGTTGGAACAAATTTCTTCCTCTCCATGTAGCATCTATTTACCATGATAATTGCTTCTTTTGCTTTGCAAAAGCTGCTTGACTTCATGTAATCATATTTGTCAGTTTTCAGAATTATATCCTGTGTTGTTGGATTTCTTTCTAGAAAGATCTTACTTGTACCTGTACCTTGAAATACATTGCCTATATATTCCAGTAGCAGTTTCAGGGTTTCGGGACCTGTGTTAAGATCTTTGATCCATTTGGAGCTCATTTTTGTAAGGGGTGAGAGACACGGCTCCAGCTTCATTATTCAGTCTGTGAATATCTAGTTTTCTCAGCATAATTTATTGAAGAGCTTGTGTTTTTTCCAATATATAATTCTGACAGCTTTGTAAAAACATTAGGTGGCTACAGCGTTTTGTGTTTATTTCTGGGTTCTACTTTCTACTGCATTGGTCTACATGGTTTTGGACCACTACCCTGATTATGTTGTTACTATGGCTCTTTAATATAACTTAACACTGGGAATTGTGAGACCTCCAACACTGCACTTTACTATTGCTTTACCTGTTTAGGAGTCTTTGCTTTTGTTAGCATATGTTATACCGAATTACATAACAATAGGCTACAATGTGATGTTTTCATAGATGTATACGATGTGTTTTTATCACCCTCACTTCCTCTTACCTTCTTTTGTCTCCCCCTAACCTCACTGAGCTGATCCTCTTCCTCTTTCCAGCTAGTCCCTCTTCTACTTTCATATCTTGGGGGATTTTCTGTTTGGTTGGTCCATTAGTCTATTGGTGTTAGAGGTATTCTCTGGTTTAGGGGTACCTGATGAGTTTTATGAGAGTTGCTTACAGGAACTTGGGCATCTTCATAGTGGCTAAACCTCTGAAGAAAATGTTTCTCCCTCCCCCAGCAATCATTAATTGCTTATAGATTTGTAGAAAGGGATGAGGCCTCATGAGCCCTCCCACTTCCATGGTAAGATGTAGACAGCTCTGATCTTCTCCAGGTAGTCATAGCTGTTGTCACTCAAGTGTGCAATAGCCATGCCATGCTTAGAGCACAACTTTCCTCAACACTCCATCACATCTTCCAGCTCTTACATTCTTCCTGTCCCTCTCTTCCACAATGTTCCCTTAGCATTGGAGGGTGTGCTTGGATGCTTTCTTATGGCTGAATATTCAACAATCACTTAGTCTCTTCATTTTGACCTGGCATGAGACCGTATAATCACAGCAGCTGACAGCAGCACCAATCTATGAGCATAAACATTTTGCTTCAGGAGGCAGAGGCAGGTGGGTCTCTGTGAGTTCAAGGCCAGCCTGATCTTCAAAGCAAGCTCCAGGAGAGCCAGGGCTACACAGAGAAACCCTTTTCAAAAAACAAAAACAGACAAACAAATAAACCATTTATTTGTTTCTATATAGATTTAAAGGCGGCTTTTTCTACAGCTCTGTGAAGAATGTAATTGAAATTCTGATGGGATCACAGTGGCTCTCAGACCTCTTCCTGTAATATGATTTTTACA